CTCTGGCAAATTATGTCGTGGCTTTATGTAATTCATTAATTATTATCTTTTCTGGAAAAATAATTATTAACTTGTTCACTTTAAAAAATAATTTCGAAATAATTTGAAATTTCCATTTCATTATAATAAATGAATGTAATAGATGCAAACACTATGACATTACAAATAAGGATTATAATGAAAAGAACAATCTAAATGATTGTAGACAATTTTTATTTGTTTATTTTTATATTTGTATAACAGTTGTTTCACAATAATTATTATCCACGTATCGTGCGATCGGATCAGTACGAATGATTTATGAAGGGATAACGAAAGAAACTAATAAAAAATATAATGTCCGATTCAAAAACAAATAAGCCCAAATTTATCGAATTTTTAGTAAAAAAAACCATATAAAGAATATTATTGAACGTGGCTTATTTCACAGTTTATCTATATATAGCATTCAGTTTAAGCAAAAATTTGAGGACATTTTGCTAATTTTAGGGTTGTACATGTAATATGATGTATGATGATATGAATTGTGCATCGTTGCATATTGTAACATTTTCCATAAACATGATTGTTAATCGAATTTTTAGATTTAGTAAAAATTTTTTTAAAATACAGATATTTGATAACTTACACTTCAATAATTATTTACATTTATAAAAATTAAAAAGGGAAGAGGAAGGATCCGAATTTAAAAACCGATCACTGGCATTAATTAAGATATTATCAATAATTATATCTTGTAAAAAATATTCTGTTTATTTACGCTTTATCATTTGTAACAAGAAATTGATAAAATAAGAATTTAATTTTTTATTGTCCTTTAATAGTAATTTTTGTACCGATAATATAACAATTTACAATTGGTAACTTGTGAAACTATTATTATTGAAGGATATCATTAATTTTTTTGGCTAAATAATTAAAGACAGGATTATTTAATATATATATATATGTATATTGTTTACCCTCACAGGAGATTTAATTTTTATGTAACATAAAACCAATCTAATAAAATTCATTCACCAAGTCTGCAAATGTATCCAGTGAACTTATTATATTTTTTTATCAATGCGTGATTTTTAAAAAACCTATAAAATGTGCCTAAATTTTAAACGATTAATTCTTAAAAACAAACTTGTTATTTTGCTATCCTAAATAATATTTGCCAATATCTAAATAGCATATAAATAATATATTAAAAAAGATAAAATTTTTATCAATAACTTCATTAAAAAACTATATAATTATACAGTATACAAAATTATAAAATATATGTTTAATATGCCCTCAAATGGACCTTTAACCAATATAATTCTTACCATTAACAATACTAATAATACAAATAATGACGGAACGTTTGGGACACGAAATTTAAGAAATGTTTATCGAGGTCGAAATCGATTTACAAGACAACGAAGCATAAATAGAATATACAGAAGGCGTGTTCGGCGTGTTCGGCCTAATGTATCCAACAATAATGTAAGAACATTAAATCAAATCATAAACCTGCCTCAACAACAAATTACGAATGATTCATTGATAGATCAATTTTTTAATGGCTCTCCTTTCATTTAAAAAGATTCTTTTGATATGAAACGATAAAACATTAGAAAATATATAATAATATAGAAGTATTTTAATTTATTTTTATACAACACTATGTTCGTTGATCCAGTTTTTTGTGACATTAGTAGTGCCTTTTAACTTGCTCAACAACATGAAAGATTTAATACTTTATAGATATTGTACGGTGTTGTATTTGTTAACGCACGAAGTGACGACAATGACGTCACCCAATGTAAATACCGCAGTACAATATATAGGCTAATGCAGATCATGCTTATAAACTTTTTCTCTTAATATTTTATTACTAAAATTAATTTTAATTCTAACATTACCACCTTATAATTATTATGAATATTAGTAATTTAGTTAATTTAATTTTATATATATATAATAACAAATATTGTACGAATATTGTACAATGATTAGCTATTGTGCGATTCAATCGATTCATGGTCATTATAATCATGTTGATCAATATAATTAGGATATAATTACATTGTCCATTGATTTCATTTTATCCAAGTTTGTATATTTGTTTCTAAAAGTAATAGTGAATAATGTTTAGAAATATTTTATAATACGAGAATATTATGCCGCGCCGGTAATCAGTCACATGTTATTAGATAACTAAGTAGTTGTTTTTTTATTAATTTCACGTCATGTGTCTCGTATTATATATGAAACTTTTACGGTTAATAATTTGGCAATCATTCCTTGTACATGATAAAGTCGTAAATGAATAAAATTATATTCGCTTGATGTAGATTCAACTTCAACGACAGACTATTGTGCTCTCGGGTTAATTTATTATTTTGAATACTCTTTCGATAAGGTTTTAGCCTTATTTCTATTAATAATAAGATTTTTAGCCCTATCACAAATATGTTTAGCCCAATATTAAATTGGAAGGTTATAAACCTTCCAATCAGATGTTTCTTGTATTACGCTGATGAATATCCACAAACAAATAAATAAAACGTGGCTTGATTTTATAGTTTAACATCTTCTACCCCACCCCCTTTTTTTTGAAAGCACACACGTCTGAATATGTGTAAAGCACCTCCTCCTTTTAAAATTTAGTGGTACCAAAAATTTGCGATTTTACCGGAAAATTTCCTAAACTTTTAATATGTTTAATCGTAATGTCTATTTTAAATTTTGGCCAGAAAGGACGTCAATTTGGAATGGCCTTATTCTTTTTCCATAATTATATTTTATATATCTATGTTAAATATTGTGTTAGAATTCTATTAGTAAGGATATAATTTGTACAAATCTCTTCCTCTCAATTTGGTATTCCTAGAATACTAATCCCTCCCTAATTTCAAAAATTGGGACAATAAATAATAATTCAAAAAAAAAGACTTTTTTTTTCCTACTATACCCCGTATATTCTAAATTATTGTTAAACAATTTTTGGCTGAACGTACTACCTAAGTGTGACCACAATTCCAAACTAGAGTTTTGGGATGTTACATAAAGCGGAGAAGGAATTTTTTAAGTTTAAGACGTAATAAAAATTTTTTAACCTTTACAAACGACCTAAAAGGAAATAATTATTATTATTTATAGGTAAATAAAAATGCAAATTAAAGCCCACCTAATTTAGCCCAGGTAAAAATATTTGTAATCGCTTGAATCGTTCGTCGGAGTTATTCCTATGTATTAATATTGAAATAATAATTATTTAATGAAAATTGCTCTAATTAAAGCTTCAGTTTCGAGGCGAAGACTGGAAATTCCTTTTTATTAATTCAATTAGAATCTTGGTGCACACCGATAACAGATAGAATTACTGCGCCATGAAACTTTTTTTCCATTCAGCAATTAACCACGGAATTTCACTATGCTAAAAAATATTTTATTGCATGATAATGCACGAAATAAAATAACTCCTTAATTTCTGTAGCAAAAGAAGTGTGATACAGAGAGAAAATTTTCTTTCAATTATCAATTTCAAAGATACAATAGCTAATTTAACTTCAATTGTATCAAATGATCAAAACACTGAAAAGCCCATTTCAATATGTATTAAAAAGGACTTTTGTTTTTAAGAATGCCTTGAAATAGTAATAGAATTGTGATATTATTCTATGAGATCATTAAAAAAAAAAATTACATTTTAATGTACTGTACAATAAATAAACATAAATAATAAATCGAGCCTAGAAATGATTTTCAACCACTCCTAATTTACAATAGTTTATTTGTTTATTCCTTAATTATTGCCACGTAAATAAACAAATAAATATAGCATGAGATAAGGTATGGTGCATATAGGAAAAATTAACCTACATGCGTCTAAGACATCTGAGATTCCATAATTTTTAAAATTTCTCTATTTATAGACAGTTTTATTTATTTATTCTATTCGTCAATTAGTCAATTAGTGAATTATTGAATGATGGCGCAAAAGTATCGGAGATTCTAATCACAAATTCCGTTATATAATGCAATAATCTTCTTTATAAATTTACTAAATTTACTAACATTAATTACTTATTTATAACAAACAACAACAGCGAATGGTCGGATTTAAAGTGCGCCCATGATTTTTTTTTTTTAAAGTTCAATTATAAATTTCTTTTATATAGACAATTTTATTTTTATTATTTATCGCGTTGTAAGATTTCACTTTTCATAATTATTCAATTAATGTTTGAATTAATGTTTAAGCAAAAACCATTCAAGTTAGTCGCCGATCATGGCGCTTATTTATTTGCATTAATTTCTTTTCATTATGATTTTTTATTGTTCTCTATTATTAATAATAATTCATATATACAAAATAATAAATAAAGTTTAGAAATTTCTAGATTTTTTGGTTATATCCAGTTTGAGTCTCAAAGGAAAAAAATCAACGATTCGAATATTTCTGATATATAATACTAATTAAAACATTAATAATAAAAAAAAAAAGCTACAGATATAATACTTCTTAATTATGAATTAATGTCGCTTTTGATTATTGAATTAAGTAAAAACCAGGCGAAAAAAAATTATTAGGGAGATTGTTTATGTTTGTCCAAATATTTGTACAATATTTATAGATTATGTTAGGAGTATTTACATAAAATTATATATAATAATGAATTAATAGTACGAACATATATATTTCTTTCTTCTGCTTTTTTTGTATGTTTTATGGTATTTATGTCAACATATATGTACTGTATGTATGTGGCGGCGGCTTGGAAATTTCGGAAGAATATAAACTCCTTTCGAATGTTGTTTCTTTTTACTAATAATAAATATTATTTATTTATTCAAAAAAAGGATCTTTGTTACACAGAATTTCGAGTATCAAGTCTTTATTTAAATACAAGAATTCAAGAATAAATTTTGCTTCAATTTGCGCTTTTCTTTCATATATCATACAAAATTTTCGATTAATAAATTACAAGTAAAATCATATATAAAAAAAAAATAAAACAAAAATGCAATACTTTCAAAACTTTGAATATGAAATTAAAATAAATATCTTCAAATATGTCGATTATCCTCTGAATTTAATATCAACTTGTCGAAATTGGTCCGTGATTGCGAAGGATTCTTACGCTAAAACTAAATGGTTGATAGAACATCATGGAAAAGAACATGCCTTCTTCCATGCTGTAAGATTAGGGGTTACTTTTATTGACATGACGATGTGTCAATCTTTAATTGAAAGAAAAATAATTTCATCGAGATATTTTATTCAAGTATTGTTAAAGCATTTTAGAATGCATAACCAAAGATTAATTGAACTTAGTATAGGACATAATTTTGATCAATTTAACGCTGATAAAAATCAATCATCCTGGGCGAGAAATTTAATTATATTCGCATTTAATTATTTATTAAATGATAATGAAAGGCAATTAGTTTATGCTGAGAAAAATTTACCTTCAAAAGATATGAGACTAACCAATCTTCGTGTTAATAATGATTCTGCTGAAATATTAAAAAATAATAAAAATAACCTGAAAGACACCGAAGGGCTTATTATAAATAAATTCATTACACTTTCGTCAAAGTCTCCACTTAATTTGGATTTTAATAGCGCTTCTTTTATTCACCAACCATTATTAATTCCCGATAAATATTTATCGTCAAAGAAGTTTGATGCGATAAAATTTCTTGATTTTTTACAACAAAATATTTTCTTAAGGTATATAATAAATCTTGTTTTTTCTTTTTAATTTTCAATATTCTAATATACGAAAATATCTTCAAACAGGCCTTTGATCATTTTACCTCTTCTCATTAATAACGTTGGAATATTTGGAGTACGGCCTTCATCGAAAAATGTTAGTCAAAGAAGACGGGATCGAGTTACAAGACAACAAAACACGAATAGAATATATAAAACATATAGAAGACGTAGAAGACGTGCGCAATTTAATGAACCAATCAACAACGAGGACACATTGAACTCAATTGCCAACCTTCCTAGACAGGCTTCAATTGATCCATTAATACACGAGTTTTTTAATGGAGCTACGTTTTACTACAATACGTACTAAGATATAAGATTATTATATTAAGATTAATTTTTTTATGTACATTATATGTAAACATTTTTTTATGATATAAGTTGATTTTTAAGATTTATGATGTCATATGACTATTTATTAGCAGAAAAAGCATGTGAACTTACAGTAGCAAAAAAAAAAAAAAAAAATTATGCCTTTAAAATAAATTTATGGATTGTAATATTATTGTGATATTATGTGACAATATATTGCAGATAAAATTAAATTCTGGTTTGATAATCAACGGTAGATTATTAGATTAAAATGTTTGTTTACTCATTGTTACAAATATAATTTAAAAAATTTGTTTGTTTTTTTCACTTTCTTTAAATAAATTGACAGCCTTCATTCTGTATCTATAAAAAGATTAAAGTTTTTTACACTTGTATATTTTTATAAATTTGTGATAGCTACAATATGCAAAAAAAATACCCCTAATTTAATTTTAGAAAGGTTACCATTACTATAACTTTAAAATATGCATATCGCATGTTCCGCAAATTTAAAATTAAATTAAATTATCAATACAAAGATATAAAAATAATTATCATATCGTATTCTCACCATTTTTAAAAGTGTAACTTAAATGTATGAAGATCATTCAAAGAAAAAAAAATTATTATAATTTTGGGCGATCAACAAATAATTGACTTTCGGGAGACACTACAGGTTTCTTGATTTTGGATGGACATTTGGCAAATTGTTATGCCGAGAGTTGTCGGCTCGGCAAAAATTTGCCGTGTCCCGTACATTATGAAATCGGCTGCAAGCCACAATATTTCACAGAGATTTATGGTTCACTACCAAAGGTTAAATTATTGCCAATAGTTTCTTTCTTTTCTAATAAAATCACCTTTATCCCATATTCAAATATTTCTTCATTCCGCATTTTTATTTTGTATCTTTTTTGTTCCAAGCACTTGGCATTATCCAAATAAAAATAATTTATACATTCTATGCAAACTCTGACCTATTATTACCTTTTTATGATTTGCTTGAGTTCCGTTACAACATGTCAATGTCATACCAGTAAAATTCGTCCCCGGTAAAGTTTATCGGGTATCGGATAATAATTTTGTTAGATACTTAAAAATGAGCATAAATGCATTAATTTTGGCGTAAAATATATTAACGTCGACGCCAGAGTTGGCGTCGATGTCGATCATCTCGTGGCTAATAATATGGCTGTGTTTACTGTTTAGCTATTTTAATTGGGCACAGTAGGATCTAGACTGTTTGGATCGCCAGTAACAATGGTTTAAGTCGATATATGAATATATATATAACATTCGTTTTTAAAACTCCGACCTGTTACAGTTCCTGATATGTTTCGGAGTTCGTTATTCTCTTCAAAGCCACATTATATAACTTTATTTACCTAATTTACATATATTTATTCAAAATGGTAGTAATGTTGACTCATGTGTTACTTTAACCTTTTTTATATAAACCTCTAAAAAATCGAAAATTCCAAAAAACACAAATACGTGAATATATAAATAAATCATTACAAATGAAATATTCTCAAAATTTTAAAAATTTTGTGGATGAAATTAAGATAAATATTTTTAAATATGTTAAACAACCTTTAAACTTGGCTTTAACTTGTCGAAATTGGTCCGTTATTGTTAAGGATCCTTATGCTAAAACCGAATGGTTATTAGAAAATTATGGAGAAGAAAATGCTTTATTCCATGTTGTTAGATTGGGCATCACTTTTATTGATATGTCGATATGTCAATCTTTAATCCAAAGAAAAGTGATTACATCAAGATATTTTATTCAAATATTGTTAAAACATTTTAGGGTATATAATCAGAAATTGGTTGAACTTAGAATAAAGCATAATTTTAATAAATTTGGCGCCAATATTAATTATACCTTTCAACAAACAATTAATCCACCTTGGGCAAGAAATTTGCTTATATTTATTTTCACTTATTTATTAAATGAAGGACGATCACCCAATTCTAAGAAAGATTTACTTTCAAATAATATGGAGTCCACATTTAACCCTCGCATCAGTAGTGCTTTTTCTGAGATGTTAAGAAATAATTTAAAAGAAATCGAAGATTTGTTAAATAAACTCATCTCAAAATCATCACTCCTATTGGATTCTAACAATTCTCCTTATGCTCATCAACAATTATTATTTTCCGAAAAATATTCGTTTGATGCAATAAAGTATTTTGATTCGTTACAAGAAGAAAGTTTAATAAAGTAAGTTATAAATAAAATATTTTATAATTTTTAATTGTATATAGTATAATTAACAAATGATGATTTTTTTTTTTAAATAGACCTTTAACCATTTTGCCTCTTTTCGTTAATAATGTTGGAATATCTAAAGTGCAAACTCCCTCAAGAAATTTTAACCAAAGAATACGAGATCAACTTACAAGACGAAACACGAATAGAATATGTAAAATATATAGAAGACGTAGAAGACGGCCTCAATTTAATGAACACGAAATAACATTGAATATGATTGTCAATCTTTCCCAACAAACTTCAAATGACCCATTGGTACATCAGTTTTTCAACGGCTCTTCGTTTATTTAACTAATAGTAAAATGACATAGAAAATTAATTTTCAATCTTACAATTATATCTACATATATATATGTAATAAGTCATTATAATAAAATAATTAAATTAATCGCTGATACACATTAAGTAATAATTATGCAATTAAAAGTATCCGAAATTCCATTATTTTAAAGTTTGAACACGATAAATGGTCGGTAGAGTTGCGATCCGTCAATCCACATTTCAGATCAGCGATCACGGGACAAACTGATCAGTTACCATTTTATGAATATTAAAGTCAATAAAAGTTTCTTTTTGAGATATCTTACGAATATCTATTAATACATAATCATATAATAAAAAAAATTCTCTTCAAAAATAAAAGTACTAGAGAGAAAATTAAACTGGATTGAAATTCATCCGGATCGGATGAAAAATCAATCCGTTTTTATTTTTATTTTTATTTTTTTTTGTATTAAATAGTAGTTTTTTAAACTACTAGATTGGCATTGGGATAAAAATTTAATCTTTATTAATTAAAATCCGTGTATAATTGCCCTTTCGAATTCATCCGGGTCGTAACTCTAAATTGGTCGGTAATACAAAAGTAAAAAAATCATATATGAATTCTAATTAAATTAAAAATTCACGAATTATATAATTATTAAAAATAAATATTTAATCCAATATTATCCTAATGCATATAATACACATTTTACGAGTTGGCGTCAGGCGTCAATAAAAAAAAAATAAATGAATTTTGGTGACTAATGTGCACGTGATCTATAATGCTGGGCAGACCTATCGTAATGTCAGCCTGCATAGATTGTGGTCAAAATTACAAAAAATTTAAAAAATTTTGGCCCGCACTACGACATCATTCTTCAAGAAAATTCTTGACTCGTTTCGAGATGTCTTACCTTCTTATTAGTCCGAAATGTAACGAAGGACTATATCTTATTACGAAAGGTGATACGTTATTGATGCATTATTAAGTAAAATATCAACTCATGCAGCCATATGCGATATCTGTTTGTCCTGCGTGTTTTATAAAAGTCACGCCGTTCAAGTAAACGGAATAAGAAACGGCACTTCGGACTGTATAACGGTCACCGTTTCCTAGTGGATACAAAGTGATGGCTGTCAAATCTATTTTAGGAAGAAACGAGCAAAAGATATTAGTGACAATGAACAAACAAACAATTCATGAAACTTAATAAAATTTTTAATTATAAATGATTACAAAGTACATAAGACTAATTATTTTTGGATAAGATTATAAAAGTTAAAATATATAACTTGATAATATGCAAAAACCAAAAAAAAAACCAATTAAATTATACTTATAATCAATATCATATTTTCAAAGTAATTCTAAATGGTTTATTTTTTTTTTGGTAATATATAATTATTATTTTGGAAATTATGAAGATATTATTCATTTTAACCATTTTTGAAACTCGTATCGGAAACCGCCGGACCGGCTTAACAATCAAAAAAAAAAAAAAAAAAAAATTATATCCAAACGTTTGATAATATAATTTTTTTGCGAAAAATTAAAATATATCTGATGACTAAAAACTGGTTCATAGTAAGACGATCGGCAAATTGCATTTTTAATAAATACATTTATGTGATGCGTCCGATAGTAATTAAAGTTCAAGAAAGTTGCATAGCATTGAGTTCCCGAATTTAACAGTATATTTCATTGTATATTCGGATAATCGGATTACAAAGTTCAAGAAAGTTGCATAGCATGCATAGAGTTCCCGAACTTGACGGTGTTTTTCAGTGTATATTTGGAATACAAGTATATTGCGTTATGTCGGTATTATGTATCATATGTATTTTGCATATAAATTATTCAGTTAAGAATATAATTTCTTTCCATATACTTAATATATTTATGTTCTCATTCTTCTGACTTATTTGCATTATTAATTTATTTTTATTACCTCCGTTTTTCACGGAGCTAATTATTGTATACAGAAATGAACGAAAAATAATATTTACAAAACAATTTCCTAATTTTTTTCAAATTATGTTGAAAATGACAATAACATACTTCATTATAAAGCAAATTAAAACGTTTTTGGAGATGTTTTAAAACCTTTAATCATAAATAAACAATCAAATTTACGATTTTTTTCTTTGTATAAATGTACAAATATGTAAATATGTGGAGAACTTTTCTTTTTTTCAAACATTACATAATTTAAGAAAACAAAAGTTCATTAATAAATTAGAAAAGAACATAGAAGACATAATATAACTCGCTCTTCAACGTATAATAGGCTGCTGTTTGGTGACACAAAATTAAATAGACTGTCCATTTCTTTCATAGTTTCTTAAAATGGGTATATTAAATATAACGAGTATTCGGACGAATTTATTATAAAACTTCCGATTAATATCTTCGGCGGGGATAACCGAAATATCGAAATTCTGTTATTCATTAAAATTGTCAACAACAAAAACAAAAACTTACTTTTTTAAACAAACAAACTGATGTAATACAATGGAACAAAGGAAAGAAGATAATTATAATAAAAATAGATAATAATTGAAATCATAACGAAGAAAATTTACCTCATTAACAGAAACTAAAAACAGGTGCATAAATAGAAAATTCTTTCTATGAAAGAAAAAAGGAATTTCTTTAATTTTTTTTTTCACTACGCAAAACTGAAAATTTTTTTTTTTATTATGTAAAATCAAAAAATTTTTTTTTCTCTTGTTGTTCAAAAAACAGAATTACATATATTGATATTTTAAAAATGAAAGTTATTTTAAAATAGCAGACACACCTGTTTATCTTATTGCTCATTTTAAAAATTGATGCATCTCTGTTTACAAAACAATGAAATATTACTATTAATGGAAATTTAACTGCCCGAATAATCACTCAGTAAATTAGTAGTATTGACTCAGTCCGTTTAATTATTATTTATTTAAACCACAAAGAGAGAGACGAAAAATAAAATTTTGTATGCTAAATTTCAAGAACAATTTCATTGCATTTTTCCTACAATATTTTATCTTGTGTGTTTTTTTTTAAAAAAAGAACCCTTCTTTTTATTATAATAAAAATTACTCAACATGCTTGGTTTGGAATCATCGCAAACGCAATATTTTCAAACTTTTGAAAATTTTGTGGATGAAATTAAAATAAATATTTTTAAATATGTCAATCACCCTCTGAACTTGGCTCTAACATGTCGAAAATGGTCTATTGTTGTAAAAGATCCTTACGCTAAAACTGAATGGTTGATAGTAAATTATGGAAAAGCACACGCATTATTTCAAGCCATAAGACTAGGTCCTACATTTATCGACATGGCATTATGTCAAGTTTTAATTGAAAGAAAAGTTATAACATCGAAATTTTTTATCCAAATATTGCTAAAGTACTTTGGTAATAATAAAAAATTATTTAGTTCCGACAAAATTCATGCTTTTCGACAAAAGATAAAATCAACTTATTTATTAAACGAAAGATATAATCAATCGGTTAATAATAAGAGAGATTTATTATATTCGAAAGGTAACGAAGTGCAGCTGATTCGTACCTTCATTGCCACTCATCACATAAATCATACTTCTGCTGGGATGTTGTCAAAAAAGAATTTTAATTATATCGAAGATTTGATTAGTCAACTCATTGGTCCATCTAGATCAAAGTCACTTCAGATGTATTTTAATGGTGATTTTAATATTCGTCAATCACATAAATATGGCGCAATAAGATTTTTTGGAGAAAGTTTTTCAAGGTAATTTAAATAAAATATTTGTTGCATGTTTTTGCTAATTTTTTAATTAAAAAATATTTATATATTTATATATTTTTAATTAGGTCTTTAACTGTCTTACCTGTTTTTATTAATAATGTTGGAATATTGGGAGCACAACCTTTAAGAAATGTGAATCAAAGACGATGGAATCGGCTTCGACGATATAGGAATAGATATGCTCGGTTTAATGGACCCATTAATAACGAAGATACATTGAATCGAATCGCATGCCTACCTATCCAACAAATTAGGAATGAACCATTGATAAATCAATTTTTCAATGGGTCTCCATTCATTTAGAACAAAATCCTTTTAACAAACTAAAAAGTAAATGGCAAAATCAAAAAAATTGGCATAATTGGCATATATATTATTCGTATTATTCGTTAAATTATTCGTTATAAATCGATATTAATTCGTGATAAATATTTTCGATACGCTTTACGTAAATCACTATAAATTAGACGTGTTTAACCTTTATCTTATTTACCTTATTTTTTTTATCTTTTTTCATTTTAATAACCTTTAAAATTAAGACTAAAGAGAGATTTCGATTCCTTTCTTAAGTATATGGACTTATGTAGTTTAAGCTGTTTGTTTTTTTTTAAAAAAAAAAATAAAATTTCGTTATTTTTTTTCCTTCAATACACACATTTATTATTAATTATTACCGAACAATGCTCTACTTTATCATATCATCAATCTTCTCAAATCATGTTAGATGTTCTCTTGTAGGGTTCGGATTTTGGTTTTCTAATTTTTTTAATTTTTTATTTATGTAGATCATTTCGCTGACCAGTTTAAAATATCGGGGACATATCGGCTGTTCCGCAATTAGAGAGTTACATGAATCAAAAACATTTAAGTAAAAGATAAACACTATAAAACCTTAAAATTACAAAGTGTAGAACCCCTTTTTTTCGAAAGATTCTTTTTTTTAAAGTTTTAATAAATTTGCGAGAAAATGCATGCAGGATATAAAATGTTGCACATAAAATAAATGACACAAATTATACTGTAAAATACAGTAAGTAATTATTTATTTATTATCTCAAGTTTTTTTATTATTTTTTTACTGTAAAACTTTCTTATTAGTCACACAGAGTGCATTTGTTTATTTTTTATACTGACTGAATATCGTAGAATACAAAGTTTTAAGCGCTGTAAGACCGTAAGGTAATTAATATTTTCAAAAAATAAAGGCTTTTAATATCTGTCGTTACTCGTTAGCCTGTTACTATCACTATTAAACGAATTTCACTAGTTCCAACTTAATATAATGTTTAAGAATAGCAATAACTCTATTATATCACATTAAAATGATTTTATCACATAAAAGACATTAAATTATGTATTATCTAATAAATAAAATAAAAGTTGGCGATGTAAAATTAAAAAATTTTTAAAAAATTTTTTATGAGAAAAATAGGGTTTTGACCCAACCATTTTTGATTTTAGAAATATTCCGATTTAAAACCCATTAAGTATAACAATTTAAAACTAATAAGTAATTGATATTTTCATATCTCATTCATTGTTTACTATACCTAAAGTAATGATTCTATGATCATCATAATGATTGTACATATTTGGAAAAACATTCAAAGTTGGGCGTAAAAAAAAAAAAAATGGAGAAATCCGAACATGCATTGTGAATGAAATTCCTCATTTATTCATTATTTGCTTAAAATACTTTTATATCTTTATGAAAATCGCATGATTTAAATTTAACAAAGGTTTTTTTTTATTAACGTAAAATTAAATAAATGAAAATTAACTGGTGAAAATTTTTTATTTATTTATTTACATTAAATTTTTTTTACAGACAAATAAATGGTTTTCATTGACACCTAATAAGGTAAAAACATTCATTTGTATTCATTCATTTTATTGAAGATCTAACCGATTTTTTAACAACTAATAGCTATAATCAACGGCACTATATAATTATTGAATGACATAATCATATTATCAAATTTGAAAAGATCAATTTTCTTTGAAAGTAATCGGATAATTAAATAGTAAACATTACAATGCAACAGCACCAAATATATTCAAAAAATTAAAAATATCGATAAAAACACGGAAGTAAAATAGAATTATTTTCCGAAAATTTATTACTAAGATACGATTAATTGTATCCGAGTAATCAGAATGACGTGACTCCGTACTATTCCTTGAGTGAAAGTCAATTGGTATGATTTTCGCATCTAAAACAATCAGAATCTTCAAAAAATGATTTTATTAGATAAATTCAAGCGACTTCACATGTTTAAATACTTTTTATTACAATGTTACCTTACTAATGTTCTATTTATATTGATATATATATATATATAAAGTATATGGAAAAAGTCAATATATATAAAGACTCATCTCTATTTTATGCAAATTCATCAAATTTATCTTTAAAATTTTAAAAATATCTCATTTCATCAAATTTGTTTTTAACATTTTTAGAATATTTCATTTCATCAAATTTGTCTTTAAAATTTGAGAATATTTCATTTTGATCAGAAAACGATAAATATACTAAGGTTGAATATAATAATTTATTAATAATGCAAAATTATTTCATTATGATACAGATGATACTATATGTATGTCCCAATTTTTTTATTATAGACAAAAAGTATAATCCGAATCTTAAACTAGAATATATTGATTTGATCATAGAAGTATTCTCCTATGTCAACGAAGACTCACCTTTGAAAAGAAACAATATTAAATTGTTTTGTCTTCGCCATTTTCACTATGATGCTGTTCTCAATAGCACTATAGTGTCTTCAAAAATCATTTATCAAGAAAGTAGAAATCGGTCTCAGCAAAACCTGTTTAGTATCAGCGTTCGGCCTAATGAGCACAATAACAAAGACACAACAGATCTAATGGAAAAACTCCCTCCACAACAAACTACGAATAATCCACTGATAGATCTAATGGAAAAACTCCCTCCACAACAAACTACGAATAATCCACTGATAGATCAATTTTATAACGGATCTTCGTTCAATTAAAAAGAATGTCCAATTTCTTTTATTTTATTTTTTATTTTTATATTTTATTTATCAATTAGATCTATATATATCTGAAGTTGTATAGTATATTTTATCCAACAAAAATTTCTAGTTTTACTATTTATTTTTTACTTTACTTAAAAACTTTTCAATAAAAATGTAAAATTAAATGAAGTAGTACGTAATATAAACTGCGCTGTGTGAAAATTTTTGACCAAAGTCATTATACTATACTGCGCGCACAACGGAAAAAAATTGTAAACACAATTAGATATCTGTCCCAAAAGATGAAATAGCGAAAATAAAAAATAAATTGACGAAATCGAAATCGACAATATTTAGGTGATCACGTAATTCAAATATCGAACTTTTATATGAGCTGTGTCTGACTCGTCTTTGAATCAATTTAGAGAATAAAAAGCAATGATAAAGATAACGAGCTAACATCAGAAAATTTTTTAGACATCAAATTATGTTAACTTACACTTTGTTTGTAGGGTTGCACAACCTACAAGGTGTAAGATTAATGATGCATAAACTTATTACAAATTTACGCAAATTATACAACTTGAATATAAAATTTGGTACGAAATTTACGTGAACTCACGTATGAATCGCTATATATACTAAGAATTTCATAATATAAAATACGAGCGTCCTTAACTTACGCATCATGTGTACGATATAAACGTACGAGTTAAGTTTAACGATATCACGTGCAAGTGCATAACTGGCCCTATAAAAAATTTTTATCCGGATATTTCCATTATTTCTCCGTGTCTTCCGTAAAAATTCCGTGAAAATGATACATTCACGGATATCCGTGTTAGCGAGATGAAAATTTCCATGATTTAAGGCTATAAATTCCATTAAAATGATACATTCACGGAAAAAACATGGAAAGATAAAACACGGATCAGATTTTTTACAGGGTGGTAGAATGTACGTACGCACGGTACGTGCATGATATGATCTTATTCCTTCGAAATATAGCACCCACTTTTACACATAATTCCGGCCAGAACAAACATAATTTAGGCCGAAATTTTCATAATTCTGGCCAGAGGGAATAGTGCTTAATTTCGGAGGAATATGAAATATGACTGTAAAATTTCAATATGTCTTATAAAACAAAACTTTAATAAATTGTGAACAAACCTATAATAATAAATTGTAACCCATCGGTCAAAGTTTTTGACTATAATACTGTGTGTAAACAATATTTGTGATAATAAATTATCCTGACAATAAATTTAAACCGATTTTGTTTTAATCATTTTATGTTATGTGGTATTCAAACTACTACAGTAGGGCCGACCTTTTGTTTTCTAATTAAGTTCGAATATATGTTCTAAAACATGGTCTAACTCGACCATTTTAAAGCAATTAGTCAGTTTTTTTTTTTTTTTAAAAAAAAAAAAATGATTAGTAAAGAACGACACAAATAAAATAAATTAAGGTTCAAATTATACAAATATGATGATCGTTTTCAAAATTATTAAGAATATAATATATTAAAGAAAAATATATCAAATATGAAAAAGGTAAATAATTAATGATATACTGTAAATCTGTAAGACTGTAACAGCAGTTTATTTATGAAATTATCAAAGATATTATAAAATATACAATTAAAATTAAAATTAATAAATTAGCTAGGTCGTCGGGATTACTTTCTTAATATTAAATTTATAGAATATAATTTTTTTTGAAACTTATAATTTATAACTATTAAAGATATATGTATATGAAGCCTCTCTATTAAAAAAGTGAAAATATTTTGAACATGTAATAGTATAAAAAAAAGTTAAGTGGCTTGAAATTTGATCTTGTGTAACTAGCGACATTCAAAATATCAAAACATAATGCGGATAAATAATATATATGCAGTGTAACCGGAGTAATTTTTTAAATTTCGAATTCGATACCACTCTAATATTATTTATTCCAATTTTTAATTAATCTTTTAACAAGAACATTTTTCATAAAAATGAAATATTTTCGACTTTTTTTTTCAAATAATTCTTTTTTAACAATGCTATGGTGCATTTAGTAAGTAAATAATTATTGAAATTTTCTGCATAACATATTCTTAAGTTATACTGCTGGTTTAAATTTCTGTAAAAATTAAGTGAATTAACGAATTTGTAGATCCGTGCGAAGGGTATTTTTCAAATGAACACGTGACTTACAACAAGTACCCAGTTTCTAATCAACGATCGAAGAAGTGGATAACATAATTAGCGCGTGCCGAATTGTTGATATTTTGAGTAGTTAGTTTAC